GAGAACAAGATATCATTCGAAATTGAAAGATTTTAGTAGTCGACCAGGTGATGAGGCCATATGTTGATTATAAAAATTTTGGCATGAGAAAATATTCCGAAATATTTGCCGATACGGGGTGGAGAAAATTACCATTATTTATTTTTCTCAAAGAAGCCAAGGGTTCGTCTAGACGCTAAACTCCTCAAAGGGGATAAAATGGCGGGCTTTGACAATTGATTGATGACGTTGTAAAAGTACTGATCAAGAAAAACACAAAATAACCAAGCGTCGAAGTTATGGTGTTAAGTGGCCATGTGTTGATTATAGAATTTTGGCATAAGATAATATCCCGAAAGAATTGTCGATTTGAAGATAAAGAGATTTATTTTTCTTTTCCGATAAGCCAAGGGTTTCCGCAGACCTTGACAATTGATGTTGTTTGTAGAAGCACGGGTTAAGAAGATGCAAAGTAGCCAGGAGCGTCGAAGATATCGGAGATTTTAAGAGACAGAGCCATATGTTATTCGTAAGAATTTTTGCCGGTGAGAACGAGAATTTTGTAAATAAAAATTCTAGTTTATAATTTAAATGAGGCCAGCTTAGCCACACCCGCACGGCCGGGACGCCATTGGTCGAGTGGTAGCAATGGTGATAGGCGGAGGTAATTTGATGAGAAAGACGTGGAAATTATTAACGCCCACTGAAAGAAATTGGTATGAGGTACCAATGTGAGGAGGGAGTTTGGGAGGATAGCTATCCTGCAACCTCTCCTCACAACCGAAGGGATCCCCAAAAAAATGGAAAGTAATCAATTTTCCCAAAATGGGAAGTAATCAATTTTCCTAGCCAGCCAACAAAGAGGTCCCTTGTCAGAAATCGAGATTTACAGAAAACCCCAGGCTGCGTCTAAACACGCACCGGTTTTTGGTCGGTGTCCATATAAGTGAGCGCCCTCGGGCAGTTCGCCAGTAGTAGTTGTTGAGAAGTTTCAGTCCAGAAGTTCGAATAGCAGGAACCAAAGCGTTGCCTCGCAAAGCTGACCGAGAGATTTCACCACCTCCGACTTCGCCTTTCCTACCAATAGCAAGTTAAACTGACGAACGAAGCTAAGCCAGCACTAAAAAACTAAACCAATTGACTTAGAAGACCAGAACTTTCCTAAGGAGTATAAAAGTGTCACTGTCTGAAGAATTGGGTTGGGAGAAAAACACTCACTCCTGTATATAACAGACGGATAAAAGTTTTGTTTCTTTCAATATACTTAAACCCCTTGAGTTTTTATTTGCTTCTTTTCTTTACGCTTGTGTGATATCACCTCCAGTTTAGACTCATCTTACACTACGGCTCGATGCCTGATTGATCTCATCTACCTAAGATTGAATCACAACGTGGGTAGGTTAGAATTGAGATCGAAGTAGTTGCTTCGGTAACCAGACATTGGAAGTGAGATGAGAACGACGGAGCTGGTGTCGAACCGGTTGCATCTGGTGTGAAACCGTTTGACCATCCCATTTAGTACCCTGAGCAAAGGATCCCGCCGGGCAGCGACGACTATGGATCGACCGGGACACAGGTTGGTGGCAGCGACTAAGAGTCAACCCCAAAACGCTGGTAGGAGAAATATCATAGTTTCGCGCCGCGACTTGAAATAGACCACAGGCCGACGACTCAGTGTCACAGTTGGTGACGAGCTCTATTCTTCAGTTCCATCAGCTCAAATCTTTACAACAAAACCCACCTTGTTACGCCCACAGTTTTGAATCACCTTGATTCTTCCCATATATTTTTACACGGTAAAATTCTAATATATATATATATATATTGGAATTATTTTTTAAAATATGATTCCTTCGTAATTAATTATAATTTAGGCTCTACTTTTGTACTGAGCACTGTTTTTTGTTTTTTTTTTTAAATAAAAACAAAAATACTAAAGAACTTCGGATTATAAGCCTAACGTGTTCTTTCCTAGTTTTTTATATATCTGAACACACACACACACACACACACACACACACACACACATATATATATATATATATATATATATATATTCATTACTCCACCGTGCCTCCTTCTAAATCGGTGAACCGAGTTCGAATTCCAGTCGAATCCATTACATTCACTTACGTACTAATACCCTTGGGAAAAGTATTAATCCTCTTCTCCCTCCAGATATGAGTAAATATCAGGACAGACTGTGTTCTATAGCCTTGGATAGCAACTGGTCCAGGAGAAGGACAACTCTGAATTCAAAACCTGCGGAGGGTCGTTTGGGGACCTTGTGGCACTTAGTGCCCCAGGTCTCTGTATTCGGCCCTTCAAGAAGTGTGGATGGTTCTGCACGAAGCCTTCACCACTATAATCAAATCTCATGTGCTATTGTCGGGCTGTCGGTTTCCTGGGAACTGATTTGCTTGACCCTCATACGTCGAATTCGACGGGAGAGTCGACTATATATATATATATATATATATATATATATATATATATATATATATATTAGAATTTTACTGTGTAAAATACATGCGAAAAGGACCACTCACTACCTGATGGGATCCATTCTCCTTCTATGTGCCATGTTCATTCAGGAAGTGGGCGCTCATTATTCTCCACAACTTTTGAAACGAAACTATTAGCGACATTTGTCTTTTTACTATTTATTTTACGACCTGTTCTGACAACCATTTATACAAACTTGTTAAGTAGGTTAATTTTTCCCCCTGACCCTATTCCCGTCAGTATGTCTTGTGAGTTTCAAATTCTCTCAGTCCTCTTTCCCCATTTTGTGTCCTAGATATTTTAACTATCTATTTCTGATTTCTTTTTTCTTCACATTTTCCTTAAAACTTTTTCGTTACTCACATATTCAGTCCACTGTATTCCCATCATCCTTTCGTAGAGCCACATTTCTCTTTTGCCTTCACCTGTGAGGGGATTTTTAAACATTCACTGTCATATATGGGGACTGATATTGCAGATCATTCTTTTCTGTGTTTCTAACGAAAATTTCCTGTTTCCTAATACTTTGCTTAGCTTTTGAAAGACATTTTAACTATCCCAGTGGGCCTTCAGGTTTTAGTGTCCCATTTCCGTCCTCTGTTAAAGCACTTCTCAGATATTTAAATTTCATTACTTGTTTGATTTTGACATCTCACCACATCCATGCGGATTGTATATCTGAAGACAACAGATGAACGGATTGACTGAAACGTTGTGGTAGCGAATGAAATATCTAAATGAGTTCAATTCATCGAACAACACTTTACGTGATAATAAATTGTCCTTAAATTACAGAACGTAGTTGTGTACACTTGAGAAAGTCCGAAGAATGGATCGGTCAAAAGTAGTCTGAACAATTCTTGGAATCCTAATTTTTATTTTTTTGTATAAGAATTACATCTAAGGTTAACTGTTATCTTCTCCACATATCGACATAAACTGTGCCTCTTACTCTGTAAACCTCCATCTCGAGTGACTCTTGTACCTTGTACAGGGTGAGCATTACTGAAAAAAAAAACAAAAAAACAAAAAAAACAAACAAACAAAAAAACTAAATAAAAGTGGAGAATTAACAAGGGACCCCCAAATATTTTGCAATTCTTTTACTTGAATTTTTCTTATTCAGTTGTCTATCATTTTCTTCTTAAATCATAAAAAATCCATTCCTCATATTTTTTAGTGTCATAACCATCCACACACCTACCCTCTTACACACCTACCCTCTTACACACTTACCCATCCACACACCTATCCTCCCACATATATGCGCATATAAGGTTTTGTTTTATTCCTACATTCTTGAAAAATCGTTTCTAAATGTCTAGAATTAAACTAGAAAAAATATGATGTCCATTGATAATATTTCAGCCAATGAAATCGTTTTCCTTTTTATATTCAAATTTTTTAAAAAAGTCTTCAGATATTTAATTTTATCACGTAGAGAATAACGCACATACACCCCCTCGCACACGCATGCACATACACATACACGCACACATGTATATATATATATATATATATATATATATATATATATATATATGAATTTATATATCTTTATTTCTACATTCTTTAAAAATCAGCTTTAATTTCCTTAAACAAGAAAAAAATAAAAGCATTATGATGTGAATGGACAGTATTTCAGCCAATCAAATTCATCTTTTTTTTTTATACTGAAATTTTAAAAAATTCTTCGTATACTAAATTTTATAATGTAAAGAATAACACATACACACATACACACACACATACACGTACACACACACACATATATATTGCTTTTTTCTTACGTTCTTTAAAAATTAGTTTATATATATATATATATATATATATATATATATATATATATATATATATATATATATTGCTTCTTTCCTATGTTCTTTAAAAATCAGTTTTAATTTCCTTAAACAAGAAAAAAATAAAATAAAATCATTATAAAGTGAATGGACAGTATTTCAGCCAATCAAATTGTCCAAGACCAAAAATAGACATAAAAAATGAAAAAGGAATAATGAATGAAAAGAGAAAAAAATGAATGAACTGAAACAAAATTGAAAAAAAGAAAACAAACCAGAAGACATAGTAACGTTGTTTCCGTTCTAATCAATATCTGTCCTCATTGAAGAAATGAATCGAGAATTCATCATCAATTATCAGCGTCGTGAGAGGATAAATCTCAGTGGTTACAGCATTGGGCCATAAATCACTAGATTCCGTGTTCTATGACGCCCCCCCATACACACTCACAATTAAATTCCAATGAAAAATAAATATTTTTTTTAATATTCATTAAGCTCAGCTTAGACAAAAGTAGGTCAAGTTTAGAGAACCGTAGAGAGGTTGTGCTGAACAGTTTTTTTCCGAAGGGGAGATAACCAGTGTGACTTTAAAAATCAATAGAAGATATATTCGCTTCTAAACTGAAAGCAAATACCGATGACTGGCGCCTGTCGGACAAACAGCTATTTCAGCCATGAGACAAGTACGACATTTTCTTTTATATAACACACTAGATGCTCTACATTACATCTACGATAAACACTGTTGTCTCCTTCAAAGATTGCTTTCGCCTAAATATTTACCGTCTCTCTCAAAACGATTGTCAACGGCAAAGTAGCATACGACTTACGGAGGTAGTATGAGGGTAGAATAACAGTTATCATGTCGAGATCAAATCCCAGCCGAGTCTGTTGCGTTCACTTTCGCACTAATAATCTTGGGAAAGGCATGAATCCATCTCTTTTCCTAATATTTATGGGTTAGGTACTAAAGAAGACTGGATTTTCTAGCCTTGGGTGGTAACCAGTCTAAGAGAATGACTTCACTTTCACAATAATGCTTGATAACTGACAAATAATAAAGAAAACGGGTGCCATGATCGTCTGCGTTCTGAAGGGACATGAATTCCACTTTGATAAAAAGAAGTTACAGACAATAACGACAAAAAGAAAGAAATGTGACAGTTACAAAAAGAAAAATTTTGAATTCAGAATATTAGAGATGGTAACAGGAAAGAACTTTCGCAAGAAGTTATGGTAATAGAAATCTGTGGAGAGCCATGATCGCCCACGTTTTGAAGTGACATGACATTTAGGAATGGGTTAAGTAGCAGAGTAGACTGAGCTCTATAGACCTTGATAGCAAGTAGTCTAGGGGGAGGAAAACTTTTAATTCCGACGGAGAAGGCAACGGGAACCCACTCTATTATATTTTCTAAGATATTACAGATAATAAAAAAAACGGAATCTGTGGAGGGCCATGATCGCATACACGATTAAGAGATATGCCAATAAAGAAATTGGTACGAAGTATAGATACCTCAGTGAGGATAAAATTCACTGCTCAGAAGTAACAATCAGCCATGATATATTTAAAGTAAGATGGACAGAGGAAAATAGTGATCTATCTAACGAGCCTGTGCAAATGGGTGGCAGAAAAGGAACTGCAAGGACACAAATATTGCTTAGGACTACAAAGGATAAGAGCTTGTGGAGAACCATAACCAAACTACTTAACGAGCTTGTGGAAATGGATGACAGAACAGGAATTGAGAGGGAAATAAGGGGGCAAACATTAATTAAAACTACAAAAGATAGGAAGCTGTGGTGAACCATAAAGGAACATAGCTTATAAAAAAAGTTGTTATTGAGCATAGCATGATGTACCGATAACATAACTTCTAGCTGCACCGGAAGTGGAATTGTTGGATAGAACTCATATGCTCAACTATTTTATTGCATACACTTTACTACAAATACCCCGCGAAAAGGGACCTGTAGTGTATTGTTACTGACTCAAGGGAATTAGTATGCGCTCAACTGCCCCACGGGTAATAACTGTATCTATATAGTCTTTATAACGTCATATGTAAATTAGTCACCTCATCTCCCTGTACTGAAGAGGTTTTATCTGTTTATTTTCCCTGTTACTTCTGGGAACTTTTGTCTCCTCACTATCTTCCTTCCTCTCCTTAAGAGATTGTCTAGATATGGGAGATCTCGACCTTATTTTTCATAGAAGTGTTCCTCCAATTATTGTCCTTGTATTTGCAATTGCAGATAATTTTATGATAGCCTCACAACTAGCATTTGCCAATAAGAGGTCCGTTATTTGTTTTTCTCCTCTGATTAATTTTGAATCCTTTAGCTTTTTGATTCTAGATTTAGCTGCTAATATTCTAAGCCATGTTGTGCATATTCATAATTATCAAGTGATAATTTCTCTTTTGTTTCAATTTCTATCGTGTTATAATCTAACTTGGTCTGCATGCACTAATATCCATTTCCATTCTTTTCTATTATCGTAGTGTTCATCAGTCCTAACGTGGCATCTCGGCTTCAGTCATGTTCTTACAAAAAAATCAGTGACTTATTCATATTTCGTAAGTGCGAATAATATTCGAGTTACTTAAGGAATTTTTACAATTAAAAAAAAAAATTGTTTTTGGCTTGTTTATCGGGGTAAGCGCGGACGCTGTCCCTACACTTAAAAATAGCGCATCCGAGTCGCCCACATTTGGGTCAATCGTAAATGTTAACCCAACCGGAGTGCAATGAAAGGGCCTCGATCTAGGAGAATTTGGTGTGAATTTTAGTAAATATAAATCCTTTTTATTTTGGGTTAATTAACAGAAAAGTTCCGTTGAAATCGAAAAAAGCAAAACATTCTCCTCTCTCAGAACCAACTGTTTAAAATAAATCCGTCATTATTCGTTCATTTGTATTTGAAAAGAAAATGTTTTCGTTCGGTTTCAGAAAATTCCCCACATCAATCAATAAATAAAAGACATGGGGAAAATTACTATATGTATTTATTTATTTTTTGGTATTTATCCTCGTTTTCTTCGATGACCTATTAACTCGGCCCGAGGATAAAATAGCCCCACCTTTGTTGGGTCTTTTCGAATCATTTTTGTATCTTCTCTTGACGACTGTGTGGCTGATTTGGTCAAAGGAACATGACCTATAAATGTCAAGGGCGCCTTCCTAGTAAACTCTCTTTTGAAGTATTGTTCCCTGCTCGCCGGGAGTTGTGAAAGAAAAAAAGAAAGAAAGAAAGAAAGAAAGAAAGAAAGAAAGAAAGAAAGAAAGAAAGGGCAAAATAATGAAAAAAGGAAAGAGAAGTAAATGTATAACGAAATAATGAAAGAGATAAAAAGAAATGGAAAAAAAAAGAAAGAAAGAAGGGAAGAAAACCAGAGAGAAATAGCAGGGAAAAGGAAAGAACAAAAGGAAAATGGATAGAATTGGCAAGAAAGAAAGAAAGAAAGAAAGAAAGGATGAAGGAAAGAAAGAAAATAAAAGTGAAAAAAGAAAAAAATCAGAAGAATAAAAGAAGGGAAGAAAAATAAATAAATAGATATATGCGAAGAAAGAAAGAAAGAAAGAAAGAAAGAAAGAAAGAAAGAAAGAAAGATACAAAGGAAGAAAAAAGAAAGGTGAACAAATAAATAAAGAATGAATAAAAGAGAGGGGAGAAAAGTGAAAAACGAAAATAAGAAAGAAAGTAGGTAGATTGGAAAAGGACCAAATAATGGAAAGAAAACAAAGGTAAATAAATAAAAGAAATAGATAGATCCAAAGAAGCATAAAGAAGGAAAAGCAAATAGAAAAAAAGAAAGATGAAAGAGAAATAAGGAGAAAATGAAAGAAGAAAAGAAAAGTGAAAAATGAAATCATAAAGAAAGACGTAGATAAAACGAAAAAGGATAAAACAATTAAAGAAAAATAGATAATAAAAATCGATAGATACAAATAAGTAGAAAGGAAGAAATTGTTAGATTAACTTGAGTTTTCAGTGTCATCTCATCTTTTGCACAATACTAGAGAAATCTAAGAAGTGCTAGCATGTGGGTGCATAATTGTTTACGGTCAAACAATACTTTTATTATCCTGAAAATCGTGGCTGAATATAAAATTCACATTGCAGAGTGACACATTTTTAATCTTGTTTCGCCTGAAGGGAAATACAATGAGAGGTGGGCAATGGATATTTGAGATTTATGCTTCCGAAGCACTCAGTGCAAGCACGTGGCGGAAATGAGTTAGAAAAAAGAGAATTTTCAGCACAAAGACGTTAGACGACATCTGATCTCAAAATCTGATGCGGAAACTTTTCATGAATGCAAGAGAAACAACATGGGTATCAGCAGAAGGACAATTAGGGTCCGAGTAGAAGTGGTTGAATCGCCCCATTGGAATGAAAGTAGCAGGAGTGGGATGGAGGAGAAGAAAGGAATGAGAGGTTCTTCCACATGCAATGTGTCACCTTCGGCCTAGCACCTGGGACGCTTCATGTAACATTACTATTACTTGTCAACTCTTTCAAAATGTGCCTGAGCAGGTGTCTTCAACAGAGATTAACTAATCGCCCTTATAGACTCCATAGATTCCCGAGAATGACGGATGCCTACTTATGTCACCTCACGATAAAAACAGAACAAAATTTTCTTCAGTATTATACACGTATGCACACGAACACACTTGATAAATTTGTCAAGGACGTTGATTGATTGATAATATTGGCCTGGAAGGACAACCCAAGCGTGCTTCAGCATTGAGAAGTACCTGAAAATCATACCACCGGTTGACCATGTGAGTGAATGTGGGTGGACAAAACTGTTCGGAATCTGGCGATGGTTATGGTATATATATATATATATATATATATATATATATATATATATGCAATTTTTTATATACATTATTTATATATTATATATGCGCGGTACTTATTGGAAAGCGCTCAGTGGTGTGTGTGTGTCTGCATATGTCAATGAGTGTACGTGCGTGTATGTATATTTGCGTAAGTATGAGTGGCGTTCCAACGACAATTTTTCCTCCCACTTCCATGAAAACACCGATATACGCAACCATATATAAACTCAAAATTTAAAAAATTAATCAGTTTGACGATCGCAAAGAGCGTGAAACCCAGGGTCACAAACTCACATCAATCCAAATATATATATATATATATATATATATATATATATATATTCGCTTTCTGACCATCAGACCCAAGACTTACCATGGCCGATTTGTAAGGAAGGTGACTTCCTGATGTTATCAGAATGGATCGGGGTTGATCACAGCGTGCGGCACCTTTGGAAAGTGCCTGAAAACCATACTACGGTTTGACCCAAGCCTTGTGAGTGAAATTCAGTAGACGGAACTCTTGGTGGCCGTCGGTAGTTTTGCTAGCACGAAGCCACAACTCATCAGGGCCCAGGGCTTGAGCGTGCTGACCTTGTTCAAATTGTTGATCACGCTAGATAACACGCTCTCTCCCAGAAACTGTAACTAATGTCTGCTCAGCATAGTTGCAGTATAAACCACCGGTTGGCTCTGTGGGTGTTGAACAAACACAAATGTACCTGAGCGAGCGTAAAGTAACTCTTTACCTCGAGTGCCCTCGATGAACCTTACTGTAAAAAAAAATGCTGTTCCCACATTGTTTTCAGGTGTGAGTATCCACTAAAAATAACGTTTGAAGTAATGAAAAATGTCGATTAAAAATAAAATCCATTAATTCTTTAGAAACTAGCCGACTAAGTAGACGGGTGTCCTCGAATACGAGTGGCCAGCTATTATATATATATATATATATATATATATATATATATATATATATATATATATATATATGGAAATAATAATAATAATAATAATAATAATATTCCCTGTCTTACAAACATTTCTCTTCATAATAATTTTATAATTTTAAAATAATTCAGCTATTTTATTTATGGTCACTGGATTTTTGCGGATTCCCTTACTCGGTTTCCGTCAGTATCTGTCTATATTTCTGAGATGAGGTATTATGTACACTATTTACATTATTCCGACTATTGTCCTCATCTTTTCTGCCATATTTATCACAACGTTTCGGCCAATGTATGCTCCGGCTTCATGGCACGGTGCATAAAGGCGTTGGTTAGATCCAGTGACAGGACCCAAAGTGTTGTGAGTTCAATACCTGGTTAAGGCAGTGGAGAACTTGGAGAGGGGAATTATCAGGAGATAACTGATAACTGACACCCATTAGACATGGCACGTGGAATTAGAACAGTTTATCCCAGCGAGCGAAATAAAGGGTTCAGTTCGACATTCCAACCACATGAAGAAGGCCGGAGCGTATATCGACCGAAACGTTGTGATAAATAAACAAATAAACAAAGATGAGGGCAATAGTTCGAATAATGTAAGTAGTGTCAGTTTCTGTCGTTCGATACAGTGCGTTTGAAAAATTGTTGCATTATCGCCGTCGCCATCGCTTCTCGACCTTTTGGCTAACGGAGGTTCAAATAATCTTCACTACTCAATTGCAATTGATCGAGCGTGACAAGCTTGCTAAACCTTTCACAAAGTCAAAGTATCCAGATTATTCATTCGTGATTTCGTAAACCTAGCTTGGATGTGGCACGGAGCAAAAATTATGGAACTTCCTGTGAGGATCGAACTCACTACTCAATCGTAATTTATCTATTACGCCAAGCTTTCTAACCATTACACAACGTCGAAGTGTCCATGTTATTAATTATCACCTTTCTTTCAATGTTAATATCTTGATTTGCCTGCTAGCAATCTCCACTAATCGTCCCAGCGACAGTGTATCGCTCAATAATAAAAAAAGAAACATCTTTAGAACGAACCTTACAATTTGGATAACAGACAAATGTTCCAACGACATTCAAGAGTTTTAAAGAAAAACAAAGCCCCCACCCCATCTCGCAGATAATTGATAAAATTATCTCACCCTATCTCGATGTGGGATATTTATCACCTGTTATACAGCTGGGACTTATCCTGTAGTTTCGGCTGTTGAAGAATAAGAAAAATACTTGTGTTTCTCGGCAGCTCTGATCGGCGTTGCTATGATTCAGTTTTATTTACAAGCTGCCATCTCTTCCTGCCACTGAGTTTTAAAATTATAAGTAGACAATTTTTCACACATGAAATGACTTTTTTTTAACGCAGATTCACTATATATAATGGATACCCATATTTTAGTAGACGCTCTGTTTTTTTTTGTTTTTTTTTTTTTACCAGTGTTTATTTCGTCTATCGGCCTGAGCACTCGAGAAAATTTAGTAAAGAAAATGTGCTCTCTGGTAGGATTCGAACTTCCGCCTCTCTTTGCAGAAGGAAGCACCGTCCGGCGTTTTTTGATCGCTAGGCTACGAAGAACTTGACACTCAAGCAAGGTCCTAGTTGCCTTAAAGCATTCCTTCAGCTTTTTTACGGAAGCCATATTTACTCAGTTTCATATACAAAGCTATTTCTAAAGAATTAATGGATTTTATTTTTTAATCCGACATTTTTTATTACTTCAAGCATTATTTTTAGTGGATACTCACATAGTGGATACAAACAGTGTGGGAGTAGCAATTTTTTTACAGTAAGGTTCACCGAGAGCACTCGAGGTAGAGTGTTACTTTACGGGGTAGTTTATCCGGATAGGAGTGTAAGATAACGGTTAACTCTAGATTTGAACAGATTATAGTGATCGGGGAAACATCTTGGGAGTCGGTTCCACAGAGCAGCGATTCGCGGAGAGAATGTTGGTGGTTTGCTGCAATGTAAAAGCATGGCGGTCCTAACCGTGGAAAGTTAGAACTGGCGGAACTAAAGGATGTAGTTGGTTCGAGTACTTTCCATGGAAGTAGCAATAGAGCTGTGAAAGGCTCGCTACATCACGCCTGTGAGGGAGAGATTGGAGGATGGAAAAAAATTCACTCACAAGGACTCGGAGATGTTTTTGAACTTTACCAAGACAGGAAAGCTAGCACTTGGCAGCTCCGGCCCAAATATGAAAACAGTACTCTATTTTCGTCCTGATTTGGCTCTTGTAAAATAAAGACAGCCGACCATTTTATTTGCGTCTTTTGGCGATGGATCGTATTTAGGAGTTCCACTTGATGTCAGGTGTGAGTTTGAGGCCCAATATTCTCTCAAGGCATGGTGCCTCCTCGAGGGAACATTCGTTCATCGTGACTGGTGGTAGTTCGGGGTTCGAACGGCGGTGATGAAATCTCAATCTATAAAAAAAATTACCTGCGATCCAAGAATAATATACTCTTCGATAACTAACAGACGGGAGTTATTTTTTATTTAATTTTATTATTTTCATTTTTTTAGGAAAATTTCCGACCTCCATCTGGACATTATTAAGCCTCTCATGTTGATTATTTTGACCCTTTAAATGATTTTTTTCCGATTCCTTGTCTATTAAGACTTTTCTGATTTTACATATTGAAAAAATTCTGACATCACCCCTTTCTACAAGGCACTTAAGAATACGTATGTTGATTTCCTAAACGTATCTTAGATGTGGCACAAGGTCGAAAGTATGGGGAACCCAGTGAGGCTCAAACTAACTACTTGGTCGTAATTGTTCTAGCAAGACGAGGTTGCTAGCGATTATACCAAATGTCGAAATGTTTTTCTAAATATAGCTTAGATGGGGCACAAGGCCGAAAGTGTAAAGCACCCAGTAAGGATCGAACTCACTACTCAGTTGTAAATGATCTAGAGAGACAAACTTGCTAACCATTACACCACAAGGATATGAGAAGTGACATTACGTAACTATTCAGTAATTTTTCTTTGTTTCTCTTGTTTCAAGTCACTTATTCATCTATCCAGCATTCATTGCCGTAGAGGAGGACTGATATTACATAACAGTTTAGTACTCTTTTCTTTGTTTCTATAAAATTGTTTCTGTTTCTTAATCAATTAAATTCCAGATGCACAGAATCTACCAATATGCTATTTCTTTATGGAATTGTTTACAAATTCTGTTTTCTAAGCATAAATGTTTTAGAAATTAAAATTGTATTTACATTGTATTTAATCCAGGAATTAAAATAGAAATCTTTAAATTGTATTTAATCCAGAGATTTAAATCGAAATCTTTACGTTGTATTTAATTCAGAGATTAAAATCGAAATCTTTACATTGTATTTAATCCAGGGATTAAAATCGAAATCTTTAAATTAAAGGGATTAAAGTCTAAATTTTTACGTTGTATTTAATCCAGAGATTTAAGTCGAAATCTTTACGTTGTATTTAATTTAGAGATTAAAATCGAAATCTTTAAATTGTATTTAATCCAGGGATTAAAATCGAAATCTTTAAATTGTATCTAAAGATAAAGGATGCATGCGTAGCGTAACGTTTATCGGTGTGAAGAACGGAATTAGCGTACGGAGTTTAAATCCCAGCATTTGACATAAATGTACTTGGAAAGGTATGAATCCATCTTTTCTCATTCCAGGTAGGGATTAATAGTATGGCCAAATAAGCTCTTTAGCCTTGGTTGGCAACCTTTCTATGAGAAGGACAAATACGAACACAAAATCCGAAATCTGTTACTTTGCAGTTCTCTGAACATATTTCGTTTTGGGTTGGCACCAAGCTTATTAAATACCAGGACATCTATTCTATTCACCCGAGTAACCCAGAATCAAAGACGCAGTTGGAATTTCTTGGACACATAACAAAGAAAAAGGGTCCGAAGAATTTAACACGCACAATGCATATCGAAAGCAAAAAGAACAGGGAGGTTCAGCGCACCCCTAGCTGTATGAATGGATGGGTGAACGGTAGTAAGAGAGATGATAAAAAGACAAACGTTACTAAGAGCTTCAAAGAATAAAAAATTGTGGAGGACCATAATCGGTCACATTCTGAAGAGGCACAACAAAAAGAAGAAGAATATAATAAAAATTTCTTTTAAATTTTTATTTTGCTTTCAAACGTTACCAAATATGATGTTACACACACACACACACACAAAAAAAAAAAAAAAAAAAAAGCCAATTTTACGTTAAAGAAAAAAAGAACGAAGAAAACGCCAACAACAATAAATCACTATTTACATTATTTGGACTATTGTTCTCATCTTTGTTGTCATATTTATCACAGCGTTTCGGCCGTTGTACGCTCAAGCCTTCTTCAGGTGATTGAGATGTCGAACTGGACCCTTTATTTCGCTCGTTGGGGTAGACTGTTCTAGTTCCACGTGTCATGTGTCATCCTCTGTGGAATCAGGTTGAAATCATAGACAAAGAACATCATTGGAAAATTCGTAAACTTAAAGAATTAGTACATATACTAGGCCACAAAAATCTCCCGAGACGACCAAGCATAGAAATGAATACAATATGGGAACCAGTAATAAGGAGTGCCAAAGAAAAGCAATAATAACAACAAAAATTGCAATATGAGTTCTGGTAAAAAACATGCAATGATAACAGCAAAAATTCCAATATGAGCACTGGTAAAAATGGTTGCTGAAGACATTAAGTTTATAAGTCTCAGAAATTCATACATGTCTTTAAGAGACCCATGGCAAAGAGTTGTGAGTTCAATACCTGGTTAAGGCGGTGGAGAACTTGGAGAGGGGAATTAGCAGGAGATAACTGATAACTGTCATCCATTAGACATGATACGTGGAACTAGAACAGTCTACCGAAATAAACATTCCAGCCACCTGAAGAAAGCCGGAGCGTACAACGACCGAAACGTTGTGATAAATATGGCAACAAAGATGAGGACAATAGTCCGAATAATATAAATAGTGTTCATAATACAGAAATATAAACAGATACTGAACAATAAATCAGCCTTTTAAAGATATACTGGGGTCTTACCTGAATTATTTGATCTTTCGAAGATGACGTAGTCCCGTCCGGCTTTCTCGAAGAAGTATCCCAGTTGCAAACCAGCCGGTCCGGCCCCGATTATACAGTAATCATGGTTTGACATAACTTCAATTGGCAAATGTGTTTCTCCCATGCAGCATCCAAAGTAAAACCCATGGCAAAGTAAAACCGTCACCAGTTGATATAATAGACTGCTTCTCAAAACAGGCAACCTCAGTAAGTTCATTTTTGTCTCTGGCGAAGAAAAAGAAATGTTAAAGAGAGAGAAATAATAAGTACGCTTTTTAAAATGTATAACACAAATATAAAAATTATTGTCTCATAATAAAGGCTGGCTTTTCACGCTTGATGTCTAGGCTTATGGCCATAAAACGGTTTTGATGAGCTTTTTTCCACCTGGTGCTCCGACTACCTGAATTTAAGCGTGTTACTAGATTGGCATCTAGACGCCACCCGTTTATTGTTGAAATAGCTAAATGCAACCGGTACTTCTACTCTAACAGTTTTTTCTCGCACTTACCGCCTGTGGAACTCCGTTTACTTGCTTCCCTGGTAACTACAATCTTTAAAAATTTAAATGCAACGACAATAGTCATCTTCTGTCTTCTTGAATTCCCTTCATCAATTTTGTTATTAAGTATCCAACATTGTGATAATAGAAGATCTGCCAAGAAAGGTGAAATGAACCATCGCTTTAATCTAATGAAGCCCTAAAGGATGAAACATGTCACATGAAAAGTTTTTTTTCACTTTGTTATCAATTTTCCTAACATTGTTCTGGTATATAAAAATCTATATATCATTTTCTCCTCATAGAATAGATATTGTTTATCTTGAGTAAGATGAAGTATGAAAGTGATAGATATTTCATGAATATATTTGTTGTCCTTTCGACAAACGTCCCTTTTCTCAGTCTTCTCTTTCACTTTCACTTTCACTTTCACTCCCTGTAACACCCTGCTTACTAGGGGAATTCCCGCCTTGATGGTAGCGAAATGATTAAGAAAAAAAAATCACGTTGAAATACCGGTTGCTTTACTTCGGTGATCGGACGATAACCGATGTTTCATCGTGATATGTTCTTAAGCCCTTTATATCACCCATACATCCAAGCTTACAACAGCTGGTATTACCAAACGGTCACCCATCTACATACGGGCCAGATTCGACATTGCTTAACTTCGAAGATCGGACGAGAATCGGCTTTTCAACGTGATGTATCGGTAAGCTCTTTATACCATTTGCACATTCAAGCTTACAGCGCCTGGAATTACCAAGCAGTCACTCATTTAGGTACTGACCAGGATCGACGTTGCTTAACCTCGGTGATCGGACGGGAACTAGGGGTTTCAACGTGATATGTTCGTAAGCCCTTTATACTACTCGCACATCTAATCTTACAGCGCCTGGTATTATCAAACGGTCACCCACCTAGATACTGACCATACTTGACGTTGTTTAACTTCGGTGATCTGATGTGAACCAATGTTTCAACGTGATATGGTTGTAAGCCCTTTATACCAATCGCACATCCAAGTTTACAGCATCTGGTATTCCCAAGTGGTCACCCCATCCTGGTACTGGCCATGTTCGAGAACCGATATTTCATCATGATATGCCCGTAAGCCCCCATGATAAGACATTTTCATAGATTCTGTCCGAGCTCTAAATAATATTAATGACAGTTCAGCAAATATAACAATATTGCCTTTTTATAAGTTTTATTTTCAAACATTTATTAATCATTTACTTGATATTAAACGCGATAAACAGAGATGTTATTCTGGCGAAATGATTTGAATGGTTCGCATAAAGACCCTCTGTAATAGTTGTCGAATAAGTAATGATGAGAACTATAAATATATGCTCTTTAGACCTAATTGCAAATGGCGGAGGATTGAGCAGTGGGGATTTTTCATTGTGCCACGAAATTTATAGTAAGTCGCTTCAGTTATCAAATAGAATAAATTGGAACGTTAAACAGTCGGCCATTTTGATTCAGTTAACTGAAAATACGGTGGGTGTTGTGTGGGTGCAAAACATCTCGCGTAATTTAGTTGCTACGAGATTATCGGACAAAAATCAACGCAGCGCTATCGTAGCTTTCATTTGATTTTTGTTAAAAATGATATTTGTCTGTTTATTTTTTAATAACTATGCTACTTTTTTGTCGAAATATACCGAAATGTCAGAAGCTGGATGTTTTTCAGAAATTGCCAAGTAATAAATAATATCGAAACATCATTCCAATATTTACACAAATGTGGGGAGGGGGCGTATAAAGGTTGATGAGAGTTTTTAAAAAACGGAAGCATATAAACATATAAAACATACCTAAAATATAACCACTCCGCCAAACAAACGACCAAAAAAGTGCTAAGCCGTTAGACTTTTTTTTTTGTTATTGTCATATTTTTCGTTAGAAACAAAAAGAGTACTGAACTCCTATATGGCAGTGAATGCTGGACAATCTTTTCACAGATGAAGAAGAGACGTGAAGCAACGGAAACAAAGAAAAGAGTACTGAATTGTTATGTAATATCAGTCCTCTTATATGGCAGTGAAGGCTGGACAATCTGCTCACAGATGAAGAAGAGACTTGAAGCAATAGAAGCAAAGAAAAGAGTACTGACTGTTATGTAATATCACTTCTCCTATATGGCAGTGAATGCTGGACAATCTTTTCACAGATGAAGAAGAGACGTGAAGCATCAGAAACAAAGAAAAGAGTACTGAACTATTACGTAATATGAATCCTCATATATAGCAGTAAATGCTGGACAATTTCCTCACAGATGAAGAAGGAACTTGAAGCAACAGAAATGTGTTTTTACAGAAGGATGCTGCGAATACTCTGAACCAAACGTAATTTAATGGTTGAAGAGTATTTGAGCTGGAAGGGTTTGAAGAGTATTTGAGCTGGAAGGGTTGGAAGAGTATTTGAGCTGGAAGGGTTTACTAAAACGTGATAAGATAAAGAAATAAAAAAAAAGATAAAAAATGAAATACTAGTTAATTGTATGTTTCCAAGTTATTCGGTCTAGAAAGGCGAGATAAAAAGCTACAATTAAATGAAGACGGGACGACATATTAATAATGAGGTCACAATTTAATTTAATGTTTGAAGAGTATTGGACCGAGAAATCCATAACAAAAAATCGTCGTAAGGTAAAGAAAAAACAGTTAGCCAAAGATTAATGGTTTAATGGTTAGAGGGTATTACATCTACAATTTTGCAATAAAAAACTATAATGAGACGAAGAAAAATTTGGGAGATCTCATTGAGATTAAATGCTTGTTTAATGCCTGGAAGATATTCCATTTAAAAAAAAAATGTGATAAAATGTAACAGTAAAATGAGGGAAAGTCTTGTCGAAAATAATGATTATCCAATTTAATTCAATGGATGCAATTAGATACCCACTGAGTGTAGCATACTTGTGGCAAAGCTAAGCTTAGACATCTCGTTGTGGGATAATGATTAACGAGCTAGTTAGGCCACTAGTGTGTTCGATCCTCACTGGGTGCTCCATACTTGTAGGCTTATGCCAAAACTAAGCTTAAGCAGATCATTGTGAAGTAATGGTTAATGAGCTACTTCGGCCATTAGTGAGTTCGATCATCACTTGAAGCCTCATACTTGTGGCAAAGCTAAGCTTGAACACCATGATGTATGGTATTGGTTGACGAGCTAGTCCGTTCAACCATCACTACTGAGTACTGAGATTGATCCATACTTGGAGCAAGAGCCAGGGTTTTGGAGACGATTTTGAAGACAGATAAACCAGCGAAAAAGCAAGCTATCTCTATTTGAAAGATTAGAGCAACACAATCTTCCCACTTCCTATCAAACTTTTTAAAAGGTTTGACAATAAAATAATGATTAGCCACATATTTGTAATGATATATAAAAAAAATTAGTGTATTATTTTTTATTTTCAAACCTACATTTTTATTACTTCAAACATTATTTTAGTGGGTAACCGTGTTTGAAATAGACGACATGTTTTGATTAAAACAATACACTGATATCCACTAATATATATATATATATATATATATATATATATATATATATATATATATTCATGAATTATTTATAAAAACAAATCAAGGTTAATGATTTAATTGGCGAAATCCATCGTCGCAAACAATTCAAATAATATACAAAACCCCCGAACCTGGAAATGAGTTTCTATAAATTTCTGCTGCATTTCCAATTATTTTTTTATAACAATGTTTCGTCTGTTCTTACAGACATCTTCGGATACAACAATAGATGTTTTTCTTTTTCCTCTCTCATTAATGAGAGGAAAAATAAAAACATGTATCTATTCCGAAAATATCTGAAGATGTCTGTAGGAACAGACGAACTCATTTTAGTAAAAATAAGAACTAATGCAGCAGAAAAATTTATAGAAACAAGGATCTTTTTATTCATAACAGGTTCGGGGGTTTTTGTATATTATTTGAATTGTTTGCGACGATGGATTTCTCACCAATTAAATCATTAACCTTTGCATTTGTTTTTGTATGAATAATTCATGAATTTGTAAATTGATTGCACGTTTATCGAAATTAAAATAACTGATCCAAGTGCGACTTTTGGATAATAAGTGCTACATTACTGTAATTATTGAACAATATAGTTCATGCCACTTTGACAGAAAATTTACCAGTAAAAAATTCGCTTATCACCATATTTGTACAAGAACGCACAACTGTAAAATTTAAAATCAAACTCAGCGTTGCTACTGCACGCTCCAAAAACATTAACTCATTTCCAATAGCATTTTTCGGATACAACAATACATATATTTTCGTTGTCCTCTTATTACTGAGAGAAAAAACAAGAACAACATCTATTCCATACCCGAAGATGTCTGTAGGAACAGACGAAAGCTTGTAGTAAAAATAAGAACTAATGCAGCAGAAATTTATAGAAACAAGGATCTTTTCATTCATAACAGGTTCGGGGGTCTTTGTATATTATTTGAATTGTTTGCGACGATGGATTTCTCGCCAATTAAATCATTAACCTTTGCATTTGTTTTTGTATGAATAATTCATGAATTTGTAAATTGCTTGCACGTTTATCGAAATTAATATATATATATATATATATATTTATATATATATATATATATATATATAAATGCACACTATAAGCTAAATGTTTGGGGCCACCTTCTAAATTTCGTTGATATAATATTGAAGCATGCGTGACTTTTTCTAAACTCAATTACTAGGTTACTTCGGAGGAAGGGACTTCATCTTCGTGAAGGGTTTTATTCTATATTCAATAATAATAACAATATTTCATGCAGTATTCGGTTAAACTCATGACTAGATAAAACTTTTTTTAAAACTGTTTTTTTGCCTTCTCTACCTGGTGGATAATGATCATATGAGGGCTCTCAAAATTTATACGCCATACACCACTAATGGATCAAATAGTATCAGCATAATAATAGTATCAGCATTTCGGTTTATAAGGAGTTAATTAAAACAAAAGAAGGTATGGAAGGTATTATTACTAATTATTAAATCTATAGGGATAGCCAAACCTTTGGCATATATATATATATATATATATATATATATATATATATATATATATATATATATATATATTACATATATATATATATATATACATATATATATGCAATATATGTATATGTAATATATATATGTATTATATATATGTATATATATATGTGTGTAATATATATATATATATATATATATATATATATATATATATATGTAATATATATGTAATATATATATGTAATATGTATATATATATGTAATATATATATGTAATATATATATGAAATATATATAAATGTAATATATATATATATGTAATATATATATGTATATGTAATATATGTATATGTAATATATATTATATATATATACTGAGAGAGAGAGAGAGTGAGAGAGAGAGAGAGAGAGAGCGATACTCACACGCACATATCAGTGTGTCTGATTCCTTATTTCTTGTTATTTTATTTAATGTGTATTTTAATTTACACATTTAATCACTAATTTCCCTCTCTTCCCATTGCTGATTGTGTCAGGAAAACATTTTTACAAGGAAAACCATTTCCTCTTCCCATTTTAGTGAGTTGGTTCAGTTTCTTTATAATGTTGCTTTGAAGCTAGAATAACAGTTTTGAAGATTTTTTTTCTTCTTGCATCAACTTCCGTTTCCGGTTTCAGCTGTGCAAAAGCAACGTCGGAAAAAAGGGAGCGCCAGTTTTTATCGTTTTCAATGACTGGTTTATTATCTGTGGTTCTTCTGAAATCTACTGTGTTTGTCAAAAGGTTCGTCCGATTCATTAAGTAAATTTTCTACTT